ATAACTCAGTGAGCATGAATCCCAAAAATTAAGGAAAGGGGCATTTTTTGGTTGGTAACAAATTTTAGGCATATGTATAATTGTTTGAAACCAATTTAGTTTTGATGCAAATAAAATTGATCAAGCATATAAGTGGAAATTTTTGCAACGGGTACAGCATAGTTGTAAATCATCCTAAATAATTTTAGTCTCTCTTTGTTTCACCCACCTGAACGGTCTCAGGAGTAAAACACACTCTTAGAACACATTCTAAACCTAGTAAATAAAGAGAAAAGTTTGGGCCAAATAAGAAATAAATATCAGGCTTAATTGGGAGTCGACTTTGCAAAAATTTTGAGTTGTTACATATTAGTTATTACACATGGCTAAACTTGAAACATCTAAGGATGTTATTATATAATCTGCATATCATTTTAGAGTTTTACATATTAGACTCACAGTTAGCAATAACTCTCAGAGGAAATTTTCGATGAATCGTAATTCCTTCACCCTCTGACATATCCAGATCCTCTCCTTTCAGCCCACCTGGTAACTCAAACTCAAAATTAAGGGCCAAATTCGCCAGCACAAGCTCGACTATAACCATAGCAAAAGAGGCCCCGGGACACATCCTTCGACCTCCGCCAAACGGAATAAACTGCAACTGCCCTTTTAAACCCACCGAATCATGCAAGAATCTCTCAGGCCAAAATTTTTCGGGTTCGGCCCATAATGATGGGTCTCTTCCAATGGCCCACACGTTGATGACCACTCGCGTGCCTGATGAGATATCGTAACTCAATAGTTTAACATCTTGATTTGATTCTCGTGGGACAAGCAGTGGGAGTGGAGGGTGCAAGCGTAAGGTCTCTTTCACAATGGCTTTTAAGTATTGGCATTTGTCTAAGTCATCTTCGGTTATGGATGAATTGTGTCCTGCTATGTTTTTCAGTTCATTTTTCAGCTTTCTCATGACGTTTTCGTGTCTTATGAGCTCGGACAGTGTCCACTCGATAAGTGTGTAGGTTGTATCAGTTCCAGCAGCAAACATGTCCTGCAAATGATTATAAATGGAAAATTAAGGAAATTGGATTCGAAGTACAAAGCGGCCTACTTTAGAATCGAAACAATATTTCACACTTGGACAAATCTTAAATTTTTAAGGTAAACGAAAAAGATAAGGGGCTACAGCCCACGGGTACATAAAGCCATTATACCCGCCTAATTTTAATCCAATTTAATGCTTATTTGAGTTGAGCAAGTGGATTGTCTGTGCTCACAAACAATTGCATTCAGTAAGTTGTTAGATACAATACAATGTACCTAATTCTTAAAGACAGATGTCAGACAATGTATTCACAATCCTCTGCTATTTTGTTGCGTCCTGATTTCACTTTCTTTCAACATAAATGAATGAGGCCATAACTAAATCAGTGACATTTATGATATTTCAAACAACTGAAACATTTATTAGCAGGATCAACTAACAGATAGCCCCTTGGAATATATATCAAACTCACAACAAAAGATAAGATAAGAAAAGCATCCCTAAGTTATTTCCAAATAGCCCCTTGGACTATATAACAAATTCACAACACCTGCCGTGTAATCTACAGAACGAAGATAAACTCGCAATCTTATGAGTTCTTTCTTTTTCCAATATATACTCTTAGCCTCATGAATTGTTCGTAATGTGAGCTAACAATGAAAGTAGATCTTCCTATTTTCTCTCTTTCAGACCTGCAGGCTGCACCTATGAGTGTTTTGCATTTGCTAAAAGTTCAACAATACACAAATAACAAAACAATAAAATCAACAAATCTTACCAAGATGAGAGCTTTAGTTGAGATGGCATCTAGAGAAAACCCACTTGCCTCATTCCTTTGCATCTCAAGCAAAACATTCACAAAATCTTTATTCTCATCCACTTTCTCTCTTCCCCCAAGCATCATATGCTCTCTCACCACATCCTCCAAAAAATCATCGATTTCTTTAGCAATCTTCCTAACTTTACCCTTCATCCCATTGAAATAATTGACCCAACCAAGCCATGGAATGAACTCCCCCACATTAAAAGCACCCAAATACACCCCTAATGTCTCCACAATCTCCTTAAACTTCCTATCATCATATTTGCTCCCCAAAGCCACCCGACAAATTATATCACTCGTGAGAGAAGCAAAAATCTCACTCAAATTGATCACTTTTCTCTCGGGATGACACAACTGTCTAATCTTATTCACCACAAGAAAAACCTCTTCCTCCCTGACATTTCTAAAAGACTGAACCTTTCTACTGCTCAACAGCTGATTAACGCAAACGCTCTTAGCTTGCCTCCAATACTCACCATATGGAGAAAAGGCGACATCTTTGCAGTCATAAATCGCACTAGCGACGCTCGATTTAGGCCTGTTTGAGAAGATTGGATCATGGGTTTTGAACACTTCCTTAACCGCATCAGGTGATGAGATTACGAGGAAGGGCACGCTGCCCAGATGCAGAAGCATCAAGGGCCCATATTTATCAGACAAAGAACGGAGAATTTTGTGGGGGCTTAGGCCGAGTTGGTGTAGGTTTCCAATTATTGGAAGCTTTGGGGGCGATGGTGGAGGGTTTTTTAGGGGTTTCAGAGAGGCAAGCCATTTTATGAACAAGAAAATAGTGCTCAGAGTTAAGGGGAGAAGAAGAATAAAAGCAATGCAGTAGCCATACATGACGGCGAAACTTGTGAGCTGAAGAAGAATAAAAGCAACGGAGCAGCCATATATCGGTTCAATTTGATATCTAGCACTTTTCCCTTTACAAAAACAAAAAAGAATTATTATTCGAAGAATTAAATGATATGGAATATTAGAATATTTTTGGTTAGGAGCGTTATGTGTACCTCTTTGATTTGACACTAGTATGTAATCCGTGCGATGAATGGATTATATTTATTTTAAAAAAAATTATAAATTGAAATTTATTATTCAATAAACTATGAGCTTAACACATTTGTAAAGTAATCATAATAAGTCATACATTATTAAAAGTCTCATTATACACAACATTATTAGTTTGATTACTGGGTAATTCATCGTCCCACAAACTAATATTTTCAATCACTTCCTATTAGTTGCACATGAAACAACGACATATGATTGATTATGACTAAAAAACGATTTCTTCATGCAACTACATGCGATAAAGACTAACCCTGACAATATATGTGTTTTTGTATTTTCGTGCAAACTGCTTTTATCGGTATGAGTTTGATTAGATATTTATAAGTCTCACATTCGTGTCAAATCAAAAAATATGGTATAAAATTAAAGTGATAATATTTCTTGATGTGGTAAATATCACAGATTTTGTTTATTCGGATGATACCAAAAAAAAAATATTTTCACCACAAAAATTATTACTATAATTAGTGGATTGTATGTTTATCTCTTCTATTTTCTTAGTCTCATTTAATCACCATATTGATTCCAATATTTGGAATAAATTTGATTGTATCTATTACATAACAATATGTAAAAAAAAAAAAAGTTCTTAAGTTCAAGTAAGAGATTTATTAATATGAATATAAACACTTGTAAATCAAATTTCCAGAAAGATTGCATTTCGTATTGATCTTTTTTGTTATAGCATTCTCATTGATTTTGTGTTTATTTTTTTTTATTCTCTTAATCTCATTTTATGGCCAATTCGATCGGCCAACATGACGGACGTGAGATCAGTTTTTGGACTGGCAAAAATTAGTTCACAAATCACAATACTATACAATATTTAAATTATGTTGACAACATTTATCAATGTTTAATATGCTCCAGGCAAACATAGAGATTTTCACTCACGCAGATCATATATACAACAACATAATTTTATTTCTTCAACCCAATTTTTTTTTTTTTTTTAAAAAAAAATCATCCCACACACATTGCAAACAATAATGCACAACATTTGCCTAAAACCTTTCATGACGAAGAATTTGTGGACAATTGAGCTATAAAGTAGTCAATATTCGCATCCGAGGTGCCACCTTCACTCACGGCCTCCTTAGCCAACTCACTCCACTTGCAAGCATTCCTCTTCATCTCCTTCCCTTTCTCCCCTTCCATCACCTCCCTCACGCACCTCTCCACCTCATCCCGACCCACGACCCCATCCGGGCCCACACCCACCCTCGCCCCAACCCCCCACACATCTTGCACGAGCTTCGCGTTCATTGTCTGGTCCGTCCACTGTGGAAAAACCACCATTGGCACCCCCAGGCTTAGTGCCTCAGTCGTCGAGTTCCACCCTCCGTGCGAAAAAAAACACCCCACTGCCACGTGGGACAGCACCTCCAGCTGTGGGCTCCACGTCACCACAAGTGACTTGCTGCGCGCGGGCTCCACCAGCTCTTCGGAATTGGGCTCTCGGAGGACCCACAAGAAGTCGAAACCGGCGGCCGTTAGGCCACGGGCTATTTCCTCTGTCTGGGCTCGGGTGAGATTGACCATGCTGCCGAACGCCACGTAGACGACTGAGCCCGGCTGCTTTGCGCCTAGCCAATTGGCGATGGTGTCTGAGGAGTTTGACTCGAAAAGGTTGATGTCGTATGTGCGGTCGTTAGGGACGCGGTTGTCGAGATGGAAAGATGGAAGTGTGGGCCCGATTGTTAGTATTGGAAATATCTTGGACATTGATTCCACGGCCTGTCGTTGTCGGAAATAATTGAACTCGTACATAAGTTTTACATGAACACATGGAAAATATTTATGTTGAGAATGTGACATTTAACAATATTCAATAGATGTCATACGACCCCACAAGTTTTCTAGTATGTAGGTACCACACGCACATTCTTTTTACGAATAAAATCATTTTTTTTTTTTTTTTTTTTNTTTTTTGTGTTTTTGATTAATGGTATTCCTCAACGAGAGCACCAATAATTCGATATCTTGTTTGGGACATGAAAAGCTCTCAATGCTCATGATCCAAAACTCTCGAGTCTACGGTTTATTCAATTCATATTTGTATTCATATAATAACAAGGTAACTAATCCATATAAAGCAGGTAATTAAACAACTCAAAAAATAATCCTTATTAGAACTATAAATTTTATAATTTGACTCCACCCAACATAACAAGATAATAATTTCATCGACTAAGATTAATATGAAAGTATTAACTATTTATAATAAGACTACGAATCTCGTGCGATGCACGGTTAAGATATATTCATTAATATTTACAAATTAAAAATTCTAATTAAATAATATTTATAAATTGAAAGCATGGAATCAATTTTAATACAATGTACCTATATTAATTTATTGAAAATATTATATAAAATTTAAATTGTGCAAAATTACATAAAAATGTCTATTTAAAATTAGTACACAACTCGTGCGTTGCACATAATTGATTCCATTATATTCATTTCAAAATATGTGTCATTTCAAAACTTTTATTCAGAAATTCAATTTGACTATAACGTGATTCCATAAAATAATTATTTTGGTAAAATTTTGTCATATATTTAAAAACATATGTGAATAATAAGTATAAATATAAAACTTATATTGTTTCATTCACTAAAATAAATTTATTTTCGTATAAAATATCCAAATCGAAATACTTAAGTAGTTGAGTAAAAATAATCAGTCATAAGATTTTTTATGTCAAAAAAATCGACACTATCATGCTAAAAAAAATGAACAGTGCATTTCACACCAAAATTATTTGAAATGTCGTAACAGAAAATGAACTAAACCGATACCCACTGATTATACAAAAAAAATAAAAATAAAATTGATCAGAGCTTTCTCTATACAAAAAATATCGATATACACACATTATATCAAAATATCAGTTCATATTATTTTGTAGGAGTTACTATAATTTTATTATGTTATTTTCATGCGAAAAATTGAAATAAAAATTGAAGCCCACGCCTAAAAACCAATATATTAGCCTGCGCATTACAGAGAAAAGTACACCGTGTATGTATTAATTTTCAACAAATTTCTTACAAAAAACAATTATCAAATAACCTAAATAAATTTGTTCACTTTATACCATATATTGATTAATTTATTTCTCATGGAAACAACCATCAATNTGACTTGTCTAATTCGAATCACAATCTATTACTATATAATAGAGATAATAAAAAAAATACAAAAATAGTATGTAAGTTTCCCGCTCATTTTTTCACTTTTTACCAATAAAGGAAAATTTTTTTTTGAAAATTTTTGGGAGATTCCTGCCCATGTTCTTATTCAAATGTTTGGATTTTTTTGAAAAAAAAAATTAAATTCAAACATTTAAAGGAAAGATTTAAAGCAGATTTTTTAAGTAAATTTCATTTTATCTTAACATTTATGTAAACACATTGCTAACAACTAAATAATATAATATTTTTTTTATCCAAGTTATCTAATTGAGTATTTTAAGATATAATTAATATAATATTTTATTTAATTAATTATATAATTATTCTTATGGATATAATTATTAAAATATTAATTATTTTAGAAAAATTTTTAAAAAATAAATTTGAATTATCATACCTTATACTTTATATGAAATTCAAAAATACATATTTTAATATATTAATAAACGTTTATTATTAATTATTTCCGTATGTGATATATTCTAAATTCGACATTAAATTTTGAAATTCAACATTTAAAGAAAAAGATCCTAAACAGATTTTTTTGGGCAAATTTCATTTTATCTTGATTTTCATATAATCACATTCCTAACAAACTAATTAATATTATATATTTTATCTACATTATCTGACCAATATTTTAGGATATAATTAATATAATAACTTAACTAATTAATCATTCATCTAACCGGATTTATCTCTCTAAAAACTTGCTAATTTTTTTGAAATTAAAATGGCATGATTATTACCCATACTTCTTTTTCGTCATCTAGTTGAACCTAAATCTTCTGAATTAAAGGTTCGGAGACGCTCTTACGGAGATACTTACCAATATATTAGACGTTTAGAAACTCTAGAAAAAATAAAAATGAGTTATCCCTCCTTTTACTTTATTTGAAATTCTAAGTTATATTTTTAAATATATTATTATTTATTTTTTTTATGTGTAAATATTTATTATTTATTATCTAAGTTATAAATATTATTGATTTATATTTTTAATAAATTTTTATTATTTATTTTTTTTTCTTACCTGATATAATCTAAATTTGATTATTAGATTTTTAAATTCAAACATTTAAAGGAAAAGTTCACAAGAAGATTTTTTAGGTAAATTTTATTTTATCATGATTTTCATATAATCACATTCCTAACAAACTAATTAATATTATATTTTCTATCTACATTATCTAACTGATTTTAATGATATAATTAATATAATATATTAATTAATTATTTAATTAATTAATTATCTAACCAGAATTATCTCTCTAACAAAATTTCCAATTTTTTTTAAATTAAAATGATATTATTATTCTTACGGAGATACTTACCAATATATTCAACATTTAGAAACGTTTTTTTTTTAAAGTTATCCCTTCTTTTACTTTATTTGAAATTCTAAGTTACATTTGAAAATATATTATTATTTATTTTTTTCTTACGTGTAAATGTTTATTATTTATATCTAAGTGATAAATATTATTGATTTATCTCCTTAATAAATGTTTATTATTATTTTTCCTTACGTGATATAATCTAAATTTAATTATTAGATTTTTAAATTCAAACATTTAAAGGAATAGATCACAAGCAAATTTTTTGGAGACATTTCATTTTATCTTAACTTCTATATAATCACATTCTTAACAAAATAATTAATATAATTATATTTATCTAACCAAAATTTTTAAAATATAATTAATATAATATTTTTACTAATTAATCTTTGGTCTTATCGAATTTATCTCATTAACAGACTTGCCAAAATT